CTTTGGAGCCCTTAAATGTTATGTTGAATATTCCATAATTTGTTCTTACTGTAGGTACAGTAAAGAATATATCCGAAGCACTTCTTGTATTATAGTTATGTCTTTTATTGACTTGAGTGAAGGCAGTACCAAACACAGATTGTAGCCGTCTATTGCGAAATTTATACATAAAGACCGCAATATTAAGAAAGACAAGGCAGGTAGTTTAACAATATTTAAGTGCTTGAAAATTGGACTAGAATGCTCATGAAATTTAGAGAAAGTCATCACTAGCATTGCTCTCTTTTGTAAAATAAACAAAGGCTGGGGGGTTGAAGAATAGGTGTTACCTCGACAAATTAAACCATAGGTTAAGAAGGGATATATTAAGGCATAATATAGTTTAACCAAAATATCTAAATTCGCATAATAATAATAACGAAGTTTAGAAAGAATCCCAATATTTTACGGAGTCCATTACCCCAGCGTTATTTGTATTTATTTCATTTGTGTCAAGTGTCAACAAGAGGTCTTTTCTCGTGACTGACAAATGCGAATCTCACCTGATCCGCACGAGTAAACTTAAAATGTGTTTTTCAAAAGTGTTCTAAGTTAAAGCTTTTTATGGGACTGAATCAAGAAAGAGCCAGCAAGGAAAGGTGATTATTTTATTTTTTAATGTCTTTTGAAAATTTTACTCTTAAGTGCTGCCAGTAAATTTCTGTCTAGATAGTTATTATTATTCTACCTTCAAGACGACTTTCGTACACGTTAGTCGCTTACGTTACAAGCCCAGCGCTGTACTTGCAGCCATCACGAGCCTGTCTGAATTCAGTTCTGCGCATGATACGAATTGGTTGGCAGATTATAATGGAGCAACGTCGACAGTTCTAAGATTTCAGAGGGCTACAGTTTTTCTACTACTAGGTCTAAAATTAAAGACTTGAGTATCAATAAAATGCTTATTTTATAACTGTTTTAGCAGTAATATATATGATACTATTAGGTCACGCGACATGTCTTGATCACGCGCAGCGAAGGGGGATCTATCCTAGATTCTAAGCCGGTCGTTTATCGCGGGTCATTTATCAACTGTCTTAAACTCAGACGCTCCACAAGCACTTTTAACATGGACCTGTGGCTCTGGAGATTGTGCAAGCGCGTGTTATACATACCGTACTAAATTGACATACTTTATTTAAAACGAAGGTCAAAATATGGCAATAATACAGTTGATGTGGACCTACCTAATATAACCTAACTAATAACTAAGTAATTAAAAAATCATTATTAATAATAGATAAAATTGTTCAGGTCCTTGCTAAAATTTGTAGTAGTTCCTTTGAAAAAAAAAAGAAAAAGACAAAAAGTCTCTTTACTGGACTTTGTTACGTTTAAGCGCTGCCTTAAGACCCTCGAGCTTTTTCTAAGCACCTTGATGCACTATCGAGGTCTATCAAGTTAGTTCCAAACGAAAGGTCGCCAAAGGGAAAAACTGTTTCGCCCAAATTTTTCGCCCAGTTTTAGTTCATTTGTTTGCGAGAAGAGAGCCTTTGCTTTTGGATTCAGTTTAAGTGAAAAAATAAGGAATCTCTTGTTCATGCCTTGCTTAACCTTCAATCATTCAATATCTAATCTTCGTCGATAAAGATATACTAAGTCTTGCCAGTTTATACTTTCGAAGACATCAGAATCCAGTGTAATCTGTTTGTGAATAATTCTGCTCGCTTAAACATCAGTGCAAACTCTCCACTTCGGTGACCATAGAAACTGAGACTGATGAGATACAATAAGTCAAAGTAACGTGGAATAAGTGTCTTAAGTTAGTTGCTACATAAGTTTAAAAATAAATTTCTTTCAATAATCGTGATGGAAGGTAACTCATCTTTCTCAAAACGCGAATCTGACTTGCTTACTTTGTTCACATGCTCCTTCCATGAAAGTTTGTGATCAGTTGAAACTCCTAAAAACTTTGTTTTGTTACTTAAATCTATTATCTTATTGCCACATCTAACAGGCGATAAAGGGCGCACAAACTGACTGCTCTGAAGATCATCATTTCAGACTTTCCAGTGAGTTTTTTTGAGTCCGCACCAGGTATGGATCTCCTCAAAGAGTAGATTGAGCTTTGCTACCACTTTGTCATGACTGTTTCCGATCACATAAGCTGTGGTACCATCCGCATAAAGATTAACTTCGCCTTTAGCTACACTTTCAGAGAAATCGTTTACGTAAATGGAAAAGAGTCTCGAACCTGGAAAAGAATACTCAATGTTTTTTGTCTGGTGGAAGTGAATAAACACCGTTTAACTCAACAAACTGTCTTTGACTCGATAAATAACTCTGGAGCCGGCAATGTAACTTTCCGGAATCAAAAGCCCTTCTAAACTCTATCGATGGATATCGCTCCGATGACTTTTCCTTCATCCACAGAAAGTTTCCAAGATCCTGTCAGGCACAAGAGGAGTGAATCTGAAGAGAGACCTTTTCTATAACGCCAGTGGTTTTTATGGAGTACCATATTTAAATGGGGGTCAATTCTATCACAAATGATCGATTAAGAGATGTTGCTTGGGATACTCAACGTTATCAGAGGTCTACAGTTACCCCAGTCATCCCTGTCGCCACCTTAAAATCTTTAAAATCTTTAACATCACAGATTTTCTATTTAGATGAGTCTGCGCTTTCTTCATAACTCATTCTGCCTATGTTTGTAATACTAGCTAATACTATGCCTCATCTCCTTGGCAAGAATTTCCATTTTTGTGGCGTTATATTATCACTTCCATAAGCTCTCCCTATGTTCACTTTCCTCAGCGTTTTGTAAGACTTGTTATCAGGAAGGGCTTGTCTGATATCGAAGGAGTGGACGTGCCTCTCAAGATAAAAGGCTTCATGTTACTGAGAGAAAACCGGATGCCCGTTTCTCGTCCACCGTAGCGAAGAAAGAATTCGTGGTTGTTGATTTTTCAAGGTCGTCGTAAACCAACTTACCTATATCTGGATGT